CTGACTATCACCTTGCTCAAGCTGGCCATGCCTGCCAGTCTCTGCTAAGTTGGCCACCTCTTCAGGGTAGGTGAGACGACCGCTGGGAGACTATCCCAGAAGTGGTGGCAGAGTTCTGTGTGCTGGGGTTCCCCAATGCATCAGGGCCCTAGATGAGATCTACATCGCCATCACCTGCCCACCCCACACCAACCGCCTCTAGTACAGCTGCTGGGGCTTTCGCTCCGTCATGCTGCAGGACATTGTTGACCACCATGGTACCTTCATTAACATGAGCACTAGCTGGGCAGGCAGCACCTACGATACCCACATCTTCTGTAACTTTGCCCTGCCAACCCTGGTGGAGAGTGGGCACTTCAAACAAGGGGTGCCAGACCTCCAGCTGGGCAAGGTGACAGTCCCAATCCTCCTCATCAGGGACCTAACCTATCTACTCCTCCTCTGATTCATTTGGCCCAACACCAGCTGACTGGACCCCCAGCAGTTGCCAAGGGGCAAGCTACTGACCAACAAAAATACTTGTTCAACTACCACCTAAGCAAATGCCAAAGGAGTGTGCCTTTGGGCGCTTGAAAGCCCGTTGGAGGTCATTCAACTACAGGCTGGAGGTTGATCCGGGGAACATCACCTCTTTCATAGTGGCAGCCTGCATGCTGCATAATATCTGAGAGACAAGGGGAAAGGTTTTCAGTCAGTCATGGGAAGAAGACTAAAGGGAAATGAGAGAAGCTGCAAGATGTAGATGAAGACGAGCCGGGGAGGGGTTAGACATTCAGGCAAACAGCGGAAGGGGAGCTGTGATCAGAAATTGCCTGGCAGCACACATCATCACTGCTCACAAGGGGGAATGTGCTCTGTTACTGGATGGTTATTATATTTCATTTTGTACTCCCTATTAGTTTGTAATTGAATAAAGTCTTTCTGAGAAACAATTTGGGATACCTTGTTGATAATGGGTTCTGGGGGAAGTCTATGTACGGGATGAGAAGAGGACATCCTCCCTGCAGGAGGGAGGGGGTGCTGTGGGTGTGGGGCAGGTTGGGGTGTTGAGTCAGGGAGGTGCCTTCAGAAGAAAGGTGTTTTAACAGAATACCAGGGTGGGGGTGGGGGGATGGTCAGGTACATGACTGCGTGCCCTGAAACAAGAAAGTTGCGTGAAGGCAGAGATTGTTAGGTAAAAGGTGTAAAATACAAAGAAAGAAAGTTAATGCTGTGTTATGAGGGGTGCGGAAGTAACCCTAGACACACCTGGATAGTAGTAATCAGAGATGCAGGAAACCAGAATTGACGTGCAAACAAGGTAACTGATAAGACAATGCCTCTGACTGAGCCAAAAATGCTTCCAACACCTGCAAAAAATTGTGCTTATGCGAGGTGTTTGCCAAAATAGTACTCCAGCTTTGTGCCCCGAGAAGCCCTCAGCATGCACCCCTGGTTTCTCTGACCAGGGTGATAGCTGCAAGCATCCAAAAAGGCTTCAAGTAGAGCAGCAGGCAACAATTCCTTTTAGTGTGAGAATTCGGCGCTCTACTGAAAACCAAAAGAGTGACACCAGCGATAAGAAGGGGGGGGCTGGTGGCAGAGGGGGCAGTGGGGTATGGGTAGGGTGGCGATTAATGGCCAATAAAGAAGAGATAAGCTGTGTTTGCATGGTTTACAAATGTGTTGCCTGAGACAAAATTGCAAGCATGCTTGAAGTTGTTTTTTTAAAAGCATACAAAGAGGGTTCTCCCTCTAGGTGTTGGAATTAAGGGGTGCAGTCCCCACACCGCCCCCCACAGTGCAGGGAGAGTGCTTCCCAAAATGAGGACCCCACACTTTGCCTGTGCCTGACTCAAAGAGGCTTCTTTCAACAGATAATATCTTACGGTGTGTGAACTAGAGGCTTGGCTCCACTGGAAACCCTGCGAGTAGCCCTCTGTGATGGGAGGGGGAAAAGGGGATACCATGTACATTTGTTGGGGACAGCACCAGGAGACAGCACCCGGCGGTGAATAATTAGGGGGTGTGGTGCCCACGCTGCTCCCCACAGTGCAGGGACAGTGTTTCCCAAAAAGAGGATGCCACACTTTGCCTGTCCCTCACCCAAAGAGGCCTCACCAAGTGGACAACAATATTTCGCAGTGTGTGAATTAGGGGCTCCACTGGAAACCCTAAGGGGAAAAACAAAGCTATCCAACGTGACCTGAAAAAATAAACCAATCACTAAATACATTCCTAAATTGCCCCCTGCTGTAATTTAGTACTGGGATGTGAAGAGGGTACAATTGTTATGAGGTGCCCCTTAGCGTCTTTTACTAGTAATAGCATATTAACCCATAGTGAGACTTAAACACGTTAAATAAGGTACATGTTACATCATTCATAGTGGTACATTATGACAGTGAAAAACACCTAGGAATATCTTAAGCTAGAAAAAGCTGATACTGTGCACAAGCACCCTATTAGCCAGTAAAAAAAACTGATGGAGTGAGGACTCTTGGAGAACAATGATCTCTTAAATCACAGGAAAGAGCCCTTCATTTGCATTTAGCAGGGCAAAGGAAGCCCTGGTCTCTCTCAGTTTGATAATTCTCTGTCCCTGATGCCAAGGAAGTTACAGATGGATTGAATCACATCTGCGTTGGAATGGCTTCTTTCAATTTAGTATTAGCTGCCCTAGCTGGCTTGAGGGAACATTCTAAGATGTGAAAAGAAAGTCGTTCTGAAGGAATTAGTTTGAATCCTTTGATAGCATTTGATAACAGTTGGATTGCCCAACTAGAAACAAGTCTGAGGGATCTCAAATCTTTACTGTTACTAACAACTTAAGCTGCCTTTTAATCAGAGAGACTTCCAATAATTGAACTGACTTTATAAATCCTATGATTGTAGTTGCCAAAATGAGCTAATGGGTAGCATTCTAGCTGAAACAAAATATTATTACAATTAATGCATATTCAACCCTTGTATGTTTAGGAGGAGAACACAGGAACAGGGAGAATTAAGTATCCTCTCTAGCCTCAGCAGACTGAAGTCTTGGCCTCCTCTCACTCATCCATGTCCCATGTTTCTTTCAGCAATTATAGGTGGAAAAGTAAAAATCTAACACATCCAAATGTTTGGCCTTTTGGTTATGTTTTGCTTTGATTTCATGGCATAAAGAAACCAACACAGTATTAAAAAAAAATATTCCAGCTAACGACCACAAAAAGCGTAGCCACAAAGGGAAATAAAAATCTCTGCCTGCTGACTTTGGCTGTTTGCAGTCATGGAAAAAAATGGTGCTTTACTTTAAGCTCAGCGCGCTCCTGCACTGAGCCCAGCAAATGCCCAGAAGAGGCAGCTTGTTAGTTGCCCCTGGCTTTCCCAACATCTGTAGAAATCAGGTGCCTTAGTAGGGCATTTTTGGCACTCTTATCTAATAGCTGATTGAATCAGCTTTAGCTAAAACTGCCAAAAAGCCCAGCTGAAACGCTTGATCTCTACAGACACTAGAGAGCTGTGTCAAAGTAACACGCTGGTGCTTCAGGTAGAGCATGGTTGGGGGTTTTTCCACGTATGTCAGTGCCCCCTTTGTTTCCTGAACTGAGTTTGAAACACTGGAGGTTGCATGTCTTTCAAGGAAGGAAAAAAGAGCATTCAAATAGTACAACAAAAAACTAGAACTCTTGGTTCCAAAATGATACCTTTTATTAGATCAACTGGGCTACCAAGTACACCCCTGAAACATGGAAGATACCGAATACAGCTACCAAGTACACCCTTCAAATAGTACTAACCTTCCAGCATCTGAGCCTGACTTAATCTTATGGCTGCAAAAGGCCTGTTTGGAAAGCAGCACAGTATTCTGCATGAAAGAACCTCACACTTGTTTGCTTCTTTGAATTTCTAGTCCTCTTCCTATAACACTAGAGAAAGCCACTGGAAATGCCATTCAGACTTATTATGGCAGGGTGTACTCATTACTGCCCATCTCCATGTGCTACTGGAGCTACTTTGGACAAAGGGGCTGTGTCTACATGTGCTTATTAATGCAAAGCAATAAATTCTGAAGCTTACTGCTCCAGAGTTTGTTGATCTGGGAGTGCCATTTGTACATGCACCTGGGACCAAAGCACATCCAGTGTGGAGGCTGCTCTACCTTGCTCAGCATGCTACAGAAGGGCTGCCTGGGGCATGAGGGTGATTCAGTACAGGTCTAGCCGGCAGGCAGCCCCTGCACTGAAGCACCCTTGTGCCCCAGCCAGCTGGGGCAGCATCTACACAAGCACTGTTGCAGATTTAAAAAATCTGCAGCAAGATGGTACTTGTATTTCCTAACAGGAGCTAATTAGTCTACTGTGCAGTAAACACCTCATGTGATGCGCCCAAGGAGAATTTGCAGTATCTAGTTTCCCCCAAGAGTTTTTTATGGGAGAGGGCAATTTTCACTTGAAACTTCACAGGGATCTTGCAATGGAGCCTTCAGGGGGAGATGCACTGAGTCAGCACATTCCCCCATACAATCCTGATAGACTTTGTGTTATCAGCAGCCAGGATACCTGGGTCAAAGCAAACTTTGAGGGTATGGCTTTCCAGTAAGTTGAATTAATTTGTACTAAAAACTTCACAGTAGAGGTGTAAACAAAGCATTCTATCTGACCTTGTGTGATGCTATCTGTGTATGATGCATTATAAATATTTATGTTTCTATCTGTTGTTGTTATCACTCTTCTCTTCCCAAACCAAATTGACAAAGACATCTGCTTTCATAATTTTGCATGACATTCCTGAAGGGTCAACAAAGTGACAAACAGTAATGTTCTGAACTAGGAAATAATTTTGTAGTCTGGTCTATCAAACTTTTGGGAATGTTGGAAATTTCCTGAAAATCAGTTTTTGGGGAATTCTAAAATCATGAAAAATGTTATTGATAATGTGCTTTCCTTTCTCAAAAGTTTCAGTCAGATTTCTACAAAAAAAAAAAAAATCACATGCCTAAAAAAATATGTAAACCAAGCAAATGATATTTAACCCACCGTGCAGTATCCGTGAGACTCTCATTGATGCCCAAATGTATATCTTGTGTTGTAAGAAAACAAGGATGTCCTCCAAGGACAGCAAAGCCTGCAAAGATTACAAAATTGAACCATAGTAATCTTAAAATTATGACTGGAATTTCTAAACTACTCATGCCACAGGTGCTTGCAATAAAGCGAATAAAAGGTGGGCACCCCAGTATTTCAGACAGTTAAAACCATTCTTAATAAAACACCAGTAAATGCACACCAAACTGAAATCTGTCCAAGTATTAATAGTCCTTTAGGACCTGTGTTAATGGCAAAATTCACTCAAGTTAAGGATTCATACATATTACCTCAAGAAGCATTAAGGTAATATGTTAAAAAATGAATTATTCTTTTCTCATGCCAGTGTAAACCCACTCATTCAGTGATGGCCCACACCTTTGTTAAGCTAGTTTAAAGAAGACAGGATCAAGAAAATGAAATATATAAGCTTCCAGGCCTCTTCCTCACTGATTTCCATGATAGGAAAAAAACCCCAACAAATCTGCTATCATGATAGCACATCTTGGGCAGATCAACATTGTTGAAGTAACTGCCCATCTTCTGCAGATAAGAACTACATCCAGTAGTTTAAACACAGTATTATCTGGAAAAAAAAGTCAATCTAATTTTTTCTATTGGGGAGAAGAGAGGTCTATATAAAGTATAGAAGAGTTTAGATGGTCTTGTTGGACAGTTCTGATCCAAAAAATGCCTCTGCTCAGTTGCTCTGTTACCTATCAGGGAAGTTTAAAGCTGATCAGCCTTGTTCTCACCAGCAGATGGCAATGCAGTCATTGCCATTACTTCAGCTTTTAAAATATGTTTCAAAAGCCTGTGAAATTTTAAAAAGCTATTACTACCACTATTATTCTTTAAAAATGACTGAAGTTATGGTGAATGATAGTAGGTAAAACAAAGCAACTATGCTCCAAGCTAAGTGCGAAGACATTGTTGCAATGTCCTTGCAGAGCTCTACCAAAGTACCCATGTCATGAGGTTAAAATAAAATGACTATTGTTAAAACCCCAACTCCAATGGATGGTAGGGGTGGGGCAGTTTCTTGGCCCCTAACAGATTAATCCCTTCTCTGGATATAGCTAAATCAACCCTGATAGGAATGACCCTTGATCCCTTTGGCTTATAAAAGTAGCTTTGATGAGAAAACACTGCAATTGGAAATCCCCATATTAAACCAAATATCAGTTTGTATTTATTTCTTATACTCCCAATTCCATTCCTAGACCATGCCTCTCTCCACTTCCTTCCCACACAGTGCATATTAGCTTCAGATCATGCAAAATTAATATCATGTTATACTCAACAATATACTCAGTAGGTATGACTGTTCTCATGCCAATGTAAATAAGAACCAACCCCACTAAAATTAATGGAGATATCTTGGCTCACAGCATCCTTGCAAGAAGATCAGAATAAGCTCCATGGTAATTTTTCAATACTTAAATGCTAATATTTCCAGGAATAGCACTGCATATACTTTGGGGGAAGCTACTGTCTCCTTCTTTCCTTATCCAGAAGCATATGGATTTGAAAAAGGGAAGACAATTTACTGAGTTTTCCCTGGCATTGCCTTCTCCTTTCTGCAGGACATACACAAGCACTAGCACTAGCATAAAGGTTTTGTCACATGCTAAGGAGGAAATATCTATGGGAAGGGCTCTTTGTTATATCATTGACCGCACATCATAACATCTTTATACAAGGCAAGGTTTAAATTGAAGTCCCCACACAGAATTGCATGTTATAAAGCTGCAATTTATTTTTGTTGACAGTGCAGCAAAAAATCCTCTATAAAAATGTAGAGTATTTAGAATGGAAAATAAGGTTAAGTAGTTACACCATGCCAACAGTTCCCATGGCTGCCATTTTAAGAAGGGAGAAAAAGTACATGTGGAAGGTAATGCACATGTATAAGGTAGCATGTGCCTTTAGTAAAATTAATTTTTCAAAGGGATCTCATGTGATACAAGACAAAACAGAGTTTGTCCCAGTGGGCACATCTACATGTGTTCTTTAATGCGCATTAGCCGATTTAGTGTGCATAAAAGCATCAGAAAAAATCATGTGCTTTTGCTAATGCACATTAAAATAGGCCAATGCACCTTTTTCTAGTACCTCACAATGCAGGTACTAAATTTCATGTGGATTAATGAACATGTAGACACACCCAGTACATTCCACAAAGCCACTGCTTAATTCCACAAAACATCTTCTATATGTTTTTGTGAGGCTCTTCCAAAAATGAGAAATAAAGACTTAAACTCAATTGACTACATTGTATAAGTACAGGGAAGGTGGTATAGACACTCCCTGGAATGATGCAGATAGACTATAAGGAGCAAGGTTTGTGTGGACCCACCCAATGCTACTGGAAGGATTTTCCTGAATAAGTCACTGTTATAGGGATCTGAAGACATTCCCAAAATCTCTGGCATAGAGAGCATGCTAGGGACAAGGCAGCAGCACATTACACTTCAAAGACTCAGAGCAACAGGGATACACAGGGAGGCTGTCTAAATCATGCCTGAGACTTGGGGAACAGCCCAGATCAAGAGAGCACAAAAAAGGGCACCTATACCCTTGCAGGGAGGCTGCTCCAATGCGCTGTAATTACAGTACATTGGAGCAGACTGAGCATGATGATCATTGCACTCCAGTAGACTACAGCATCACATGTATCAGTTTCCCCGCACTGAGAAATGGTGGTAGGGGCACTTTAACTAAAGCTCATTTGACAAGCTTTAGCTAAAGTGCCTCCACCACCATTTTTCAGCACAGGGACACTGATACACATTATGCTCCAGGCGCTTTAATTAGAGCGGCTCTTGGAGCTGCTCTAATTAAAGTGCTCCCCCCATTCCCAGAGCACGTGTATCAACAGTAAAAAGCACTGTAACCATCTTTGCTCTGTGCTATGAGTTCTGAGCTATTTCTCATGAGAGATACAGCAGAGAAGCTTACCTATGGAGAACACACATAGGTGCACCCCATACACAGCTTTGTCCTTAACATGGACAGCCTGATGATTGCTTCCTCTCTCACATATCAAAGGAAGGAGACATAGGGCAACCAACTTCCTCATTGCCCTTCCACCACAGCATCTAAATTTGTGAGCACTACCTGCCAGAATTTGACACTTAAAAAGTGCATTTGAAAGACAGATTTAAATTTAAGTGCTCTATATAGTAACAATCCTGTGAACATTCCTAAGGTAAGAAGCCTGAAACCTAATGAAAATTCTTTATAGATAGCTCAATAAGAGAAGGTTATGACACAGAAGCGATCCATCTTGATAAGTGTAGCCAGAGCAGATGCTATGCAATACTGGGCACAACAATAAATATCAGATATTAGACTTCCTGATATGCTGTACATTTATTTTCTCCACAAGGAGCATATAATATGTAATTGTAGGGGTGAATATATGTAGTAAATATCTTTGTACAGTCCTGGCTGTAATTCTCCTCTCACACTGACAGTAGTATAACTGGGGGGGAGTTAGCATGGGGCCCCTTAGGGAGTCTTAGTCACAGCAGCAACACTTCTCCTCCTGCCCCTCTGCACTCTTGAGCAGGGTTTTGCCCAGGGTACAAAACTTGTTCATAATACCTCTGCAAACTGGTTTGACTTGGGACTAACTCCATTGTAGCCAATGGCAGCTCAACACAGTACAAGATTCAGACCAATGGTCTCCCAGACACGTAGAAAAAAAATCTCTGGGGAGTTATTTTCCCTCTGAATATTATTTACGGGTCCTCCCCCATTTCTAACTTGTAACACAGTCAGATTCATTAGCCTTTGGTTCTTGACACTTAAGTTTGGGTACATACATATTTTAAACACATGGTGAAGAGCTAGCATAAAGTTATATCAAAGTTGTAATGAGACCCAGCATGACATTCACCTGTCTAACATGGCCAAGAAGAGGATGCTTATTTTAAAAGTAATGTTTGATTATGTGAAAAGTACTTTTTTCTAATATTCAAGGATTATGCGAATTTTAAATAGACTGTGAATGGGACTTTGAATGCAAACAGATGTTGTATTTCCCAGTATTATAGCTAGTGGGCACATCTACATGAGATGCTTAATAAGCATTGGTCTAATTCTACTACACATTAGTGCAGCTAACAAAAACTTTGCTAATGTACTAATGCACAGTAGCTTTAGTCTAATTTGCATTAAGCGTCACACAAAAACCATTCATATGCACTAATGCACAGTAGCATCGATTATGGTACATTAAGTTAGTACCTGTTATTACAGGGACTAAACTTAATGCGCCGTAATTACAGTGTATTAATGGATGTGTGGACGAGTCCACTGATAGTAGTACATTTGGTAGGCTCTGCAAAACAAGCATCTGGAAGTTATTTGCAGTTCTACTTAACCATATTTACTTAAGAGCTTTAGTCCCAATAACATGCACTAGAAGTCTTCACTGTACCGATTTGACAAGATTAATTCAGTCAAAAGAACAAAGTGAAAATAAATAACATAAGAAATGATTCATTACAATTTCTTCATTACATTTAAAATCCTCTCAGGATAATATGAGTTAACGTAATATGCTGAAAGAACCACAACTATAACATTTATATCATATAGCATTACAAATTAACTTTCATTTACTTATTTTTTAAGAACAGAGTTCTTTAATGGCAGGAGTTTTTAGAATTCTTCCACAGTGGGCAGATCTCCATGTTCACTAACGCACCGTCACTACAGTGCATTAAGTTTAGTACCTGTTATTACAGGTAATAACTGGTGTTACTGCACATTAGCGCTAACAAACACTTTTTTGTGATGTTTAATGTTCATTGGACTGAGTCTACTGCTCATTAGTGCAAACAAATGCTTTTTTGTGATGATTAATGCTCATTGAACTAATCTGCTGCACATTAGCATGGTTTTTGCCTGTGATGCTAATGCACAGTAGAATTAGTCCAATGGGCATTAAGCGTCTCGTATATATGGGTGGGTACCCATTGTTAGGAAACAGCAGCGATCTCTTAGATGCTGAACAGTGAAGTTCTTGCAAACAGTGCTTTAAAAATGGAATTCCTTTTTACTGAAATACACGACTTCCTTAGGAGTTGTCCCAAAGCTACTAGAGTACTGTAGTGTTTGCTTTCACATACCCAGAGGGACAGATTATCAGGGCCTTGACAAATATAGGACCTTTTCCAAGACTTGAAGATTATTGCTCCTGAGAAATACCATTTGATATGAATTTTGAGTTTTATAAATAAACTTTGCAATCCTTAATTTCACACCAGAAAATTGGTATGAAATTAACTTGTTTAGCTAACAAGGACTGGTGTGATCCTCACATTTGGTATGAACTTTCAATTTGAAAGGGGGCTGTCATTTTACCAGACATAACAGCTGGAGAGGATAAAATTTCCATTGACAGAAAAATAGCTTTGTCTGCTAAAAAAACCCAAACAGATCTTAGGAGGACTTGTCTACCATGTGGAGTTGAGATTAATTAAGGTGAGAAGTTAATGCACTAAAATGAACTGTGCTAAACTCCCATATGGATACTCTCATTCAGAAGTAAATTAACTTTAGATCACTAACTTAATCCTTCTTGGATTAACTTCACACCTTTAGTTCATTCATTTTAACTTTCTTGAGAGCCACCACGTGCAGAAGTCATTAGAAGTAACAATCAAAGTGGCAGTTGCCTTCATATGCATGTGCCAGAGGGAAGGGAGGGTGCAGGGAACTCCTTGTTCATCAACTGCCCAATGGGTGAGTATAAGGGACAGCCCTAAATTGAATACCATCTGGTATTCAAAGAGCTGGGCTGACTTCAAAGGCAGTCTCAGGTAGAGCAGACAGGGTAGAAACACCTATAGAAGCTGTGTTGACTAAGACCTGGAGTGAGCAGAGCAGGGCAAAAGACAGCATAAAGACATATGGCCCCGTACTGGCAGCCTATGCCATCAGAACTTTGGATCTTGGGAGAATTCACAGGTTTTGGAAGCTGAACAATCTACTTCTTCCTCCCCCAACCTTTTGTTGTTGTTGTTTACTCTCTTTCCTTACAGAGAAATGTGAAGGCAACTCAAATGACTTCCTTGTCCCTGGAAGGAGTCTAGGAGATGTAGGGCCCAGTCTTGTTTAATTCTTCAAAATAAATATGAGAAAGGCAAGAATATCCTTATCTGCTGAGTTTTCATAAACTGTCTACCAAAATGATTACTTGGAAGTGAGATTAGAAAGATTAGATTTACACCAAATGATTAGGGGGTCAATACTGCAAATGTGTAAGCATATTCCTGGCTTATTTGCATAGTCCCATTAACCTCAGTGGAACTACCATATAAGTAACGTTAGGCATGTATTTAAGGGACTGTGGGATTGGATCCTAAGGGAAAAAAGTTCCAACGTCTTATTTTATGAGGCTAATACCTCAGATTCTGTATCAAGTATTGGTTCAACAGATAATCTGACTAGTTTTCCTTATTTTTTCCCTTATTTTTTTCTAAGAGCATAGCAAGACTTTGCCATGGTTCTTAAACTACAAACATATTCTAAAATGTGACAGCACTGAAGTATAACAATTTAGACAGACATTTATTAGAGCCTGTACAGGATTACATTTGGATACTTGCCAAAATTCATTTAGGGAAAATGTGCATCTAGGCAACATGGCCTAAAACTTACCCAAGGATACTTAATAATTCCTGTTATATTTCAGTCCTGATTTGTTCAGAAATGATCTGCGGAAACTGTAGTGATCAAAGAAATGTGCTGGCATTACTAACACTTGGGCCAGGTGCAGACATTATACTTTTACTGGTCTAAGTAGTTGGAAACTGGTCAAAGCTCGTAACAGAACATACGTTTGGCGCACATAGACTGAGCTAAAATGGCAGAACACCGCCTAAGACAGACCTGGATTGATGTATACTCAAACTTAATCAATTTAAGTTAGACTGGGAGTGTCTACATATCACCCTATGGTGACGTAGAGATGCACTATGTCACCATACGGTATGCTACATCAATGTAGTGATCATGTGTGTCTACATGTGATCACCAGCTACGTTGCCAGAGCAGCACACTCCCCGGGTATAGTGCTCTGCTACAGTGATGTAGCAGCAAAATCTACTCATGTGTACTAACCGCCCATACTGTGTTGTGCTTTAGTACTTCCAAAGGAAGTATGGTGATGTGTAGATGCACCCACAGGTGTACTGAACTTCAGGTCTGTGCGGGCCGGGAGTGACCCGAGCCCTTTTCCGCGCTGCCCGCGGGCTGTGGCCAGCAGCCCGGGCACGCCGGGGCGGAGAGGGAAGGCCGTCGAGCTGGAATTAGGCACAAACGCGTAGCGGTAGTTTTAAAGATTGTTTACTTACACCGAGATGGCAGTGGTGTAGGCTGGGAAAATTGATTGAGTTGCAGTTACAGACAGACAACACAGACGGTCTCGTGGAGGTGGCTAGGCTCCACGGTGCAGAGCTCCGGATGCTCTGGGTGAACGAGCCACCAAAATAGAAATCGTAAATACGTCTTATAAAAGTTGCGTTCGAAGACGGGAAGAGGTGGGCGGTGGATCAGGCCGCCAGGCTCCTCTGGATCTCACACAGGGTTTCTATTCCCCTGCCGTGTACCCAGAGTCCCCACGAGATGGATGTGGAGTCCTCTTCGGCTTGGGCGGAAACCGCTCAAGCGTCTTATACGGCTAACAGGCCAATCGTTAGCCGCCACGTGTGAATAATTTAGTGCTAGCCAATCACGGGGAACGAATTTGCATACCAGTGGCGGGGACTCTTTTTCACCGTGCATTCCTCTTGCAACATGAGCAATGCACCCTGCAAAAGAAGCTGCAAAAAAGGCAGGAAACTCGTCCCTGCACCGGGGTTTTCCTCTGCAACAGGAAACTCTCCCGTGCAATGAAGCTGCAATTTGGCGGGGATAATTCTGGTGCCGAAGCGCACACAAAATCATGCCTTTGGGTCATGACAAGGTCCAGTTCCGCTATCTAGTTAAATTAGGTCACTGTCCACTGGCATCCCAAGCTCCTTTGCAGGCCGCACCTACCTCCTCCCCCCCTTGCAGGGAGGTGCACTAGCACTCATCCCACATTTGGCTGCTCCATCCAAGTGCCTGGTGGGCCCTGCCCCTGAGCTTTCATAGAGCCAAGTCAGCACAGACCCTTTCCAGCACAGACCCTTTCCACAGCCCCACCTCCTGCCTCCAGCCAGCTGTCAGCCACAGGCGGGCAGTGTGGGAGGGAAGGCAGGCATCTGTGTCCCTGCATAAACCCCATCATGAAGCATTTCATGATGTACACAAAGACCTGACACTGAGCCCAGAAGAAGTCCCGTGAGGAGGTGCAGCATCATGAAGCCTAAGCAGGCTGCCGGGCACAGACAAGCATTCCCTCCTCCCCCTGCCATGTTGTCTGTCAGACACCAGCATCTGTCAGCTGCAGGACGGCAGCGGGCTGGGAGGAAATGCTCACCCATGCACAATAGCCAATCAAGGGTGGCCTAGATGCTTGGCTGCACTTGGCAGTCTCCAGCAACCTGAGGAGCCCACAGAGCATACTAGGAGGTGTACAGGAGCTCCCCCAACCTTCTGACCTTGGCCAGTGCAGACGACCTGCATTATTTCCCTCCACCACCACCACAAGGCAAATGTGTGTTTTGTTCACTACCAATCTAACCTATGCCACTTACAGAAAACCATGTAACTTAGATCAATTCTGCCTTGGGATTCCTGCCACAGTGTGAGATACAGTACAGTAAGACATTGACCTAACTTTCTAGTTAACAATCATTCTCCTCAGATATTCATTCTTGCTGCTCTCCACCTTTAAGCTTCTTATGAGCTGAAATTGCAAAGAACATAATTCATAATTATGGACAAATTCACTCTGCATCTGTTTTAGTCTGGACTTACCTGTTTCTGTGGATAGTCTAGTTCTTGTACTTCTTTTTTCAAAAATCATGGCTAAAGATTTTCCTTGCATCAAAGGTAAATACTGAAGAAACAGGAATTGGGGGTTTGAAAAGTCTTTCAATCATATGTGATTAGTTATGATACATTCACTTCTTTGCTTACTGGCTACAGCGAGTTAAAAACAGCAATCACTGTCCTAGTTTTAGTCCCTTGCCCTACAAATCAGTTATTACCACAGGAAAGAGTTTGAGAGAAAGATATAGTTCTAAGGACAAAAATCACCTGCATTGTTTGGTTTGGTTTGGTTTGGACTAGCTTTAAAGATATCTCTGATTTTATCTTCATCCCATAATACTTACAGAATTGCACTGCAAATCATATAGATATTTTGTGCAACATAACCAAACTAAAAACAATAGAAACAGTCAGTAACAGAGTTATACATGTTGTGCAAAAATGTCTGCTCTTGTCATTAGCAAGCTACCCTCTTATATCCAAAGGACTCTGCATTTCTAACTGAAAGGCATAAATATTTGCTGATAAGGGGTTAAATGAAATTTTAGGACAAGCCAATATAGTTGTTAATTCACATTTTATTTCATGGCAATAGCTGTTTTGCCAGTATGAATAATCTAATTGGCAGTAAATGCATATTAGCTGAAGACATTGAATACCTCTCCCTTGTGCTTTATTCTTTGTTTCAAATCTGATGCCACCCATAGCAAATACTTTATTTCTTCTGCTGTGTAATTTTGCAGAGTTAGAAGGTCACGACCTTTCAGATGGACATTAGTTTGAGTTGGTTCTCCAGGCCTGTGTCAAAATAATAACAAAAATATGCTCTTCATCATTTGGCATTAATTTGTACTCTTGATTAAACTAATGAACAAGCAACTATATCTTTTTCACTAGCTTCATTTGACCCAGATGGATAATCTTGATGGTCTGTGCTAATTAGTTTAAATAATTTCCACTGTCACACAGACACAACATATTACAATTTACTATATTAATCACCATGGTAACACTCTCCTAAATATGATTAGAATCTCTGAATCTGATTTTATTTCCTATGGCTTCCAATATCAGTATAACTTGACTGCACACTGCATAATCAAATAAGCCCAAATGTATAGAACTATTCAGGGTATGGTAACACTTAGATCTGGATTGTATCTTGCTCTACAGGGGTGCAAATAAAAGATTCAAACTGATGCATTTGATTGAGGAACAATTAAAATAATCCTAAATGCCCTGTTAAAAGGCCCTGTGTACAGGCAAAAGAGGCCACAGGTAGCCACAAACTCCTCTCTTTTACAGGCCAGCCTCATGCTCAGTCCCAAACATACTATGTAAGCCTGCAGTGAGACTGGCTTTTTATGCAGTATGGCCCAAATGGTGTCAGCCATACCAAAATGAAAACAGGAAAAAAAAGGGATTTTGGCTGAGCCAAGATACCCCTCGTCAAACACACTGCCAGGGCTCTGACAGATGTATTAGCCCAGACTCTGGAGTTTAGTGTGGCATGCCACATCAAGCCCTTCATTTTTACCCCCTGGAGCTATGTGGTATCAGTCAGTGGTATCAATTTCTTTTCAAACAGGGAAAACTCAGCAATTAAATAGCTTAGAAGGAAAGTTAAAATGTAACTCAATGAAATGGAAGCCAGATTGGATTTTTTCCTCTTTTTTTTTCTGAAAAGTTAAGGCAGTTTCCCACAAGTTATTATTTATATCATTATCATAGGCTGCTGAAGTATGAATCATTATTTAGTTAGATATTAGTGATCACAGCAGATAGTGATTTCTTGAGATAAAGGTAATTTTCTTGACATGGTCTCCTACGCACTTAGATTTGAAGGGTAGCTATAGCTAAAAATGTGATTTGCTAAACAACTAAATATAAATATTACACTAAAAGCCTATTTAATTTATGAGACCATGTTTGACACCTGGTCAACAGTGGTCATCTTTTATATCAACTTCTAGGTCAAGCTTCCTAACCAAATGAAGGTTTTATTAATTGCCAGATACGCAAGTAGAAAACTCATATAAGAAATAGCAGGTTGAGCCTGAGTGCTGCAATTGTCTTCAGAAAAAGGAAAATAAAACTAAGAGCTCAGGAAACACTTTCAAACTGGTGTAAAGAAAACAGAAGACAGATGAAAAAGTTGTTTATGGCTTATTTGGATTTGTGTGCATGTATAACTCTTGCATACACTTTTTTACATGTGTTGCTTAATCTATTAAGGTCTGATCCTGTCTACATGTGCGCTTTAATGTGCAATAGCCTATTTTACTGCACATTAAAGCATCACGTAAAAAAACATGCTATTATGCTAATGTTCAGTAAAATAAGCTACTGTTCATTAAGTGCCACTTAAAAACCATGTGCATTCGTTACTGCACCATAAGGCAGCCTAATGCACATTTGTTTAGTACTTTACACTGGAGGTACTAAATGTAATGTACATTAGGAAAAGCACCCTAATGCACATGTAGACGCACCAAGTTACTTCAATGTGAAAATGCTCATAAATCTCAATAATGCAGGATCAAGTCCTACATCAGGGGTCAGCAACCCCCGGTATGTGTGCTGAACACAGCACACAAGGCCATTTTTCTCGGCACGCCACCGCCAGCCTGGGCTCTAGGCAGCTGCTGCCAGTTATGAAGCCTGGGCTGCTCCCAGCAGGCAGCTGGGCAGCTGCCAGCCCTGCTGCAAGCAGACCGGGCTCCATGGTTGGCAGCAGCTACCCAGAGCCTGGGTCAGTTGCAGCCAGGAGGCTGCATACACCTGCTCTGGGCTCCAGCATTAGCTCCATACCAGCAGGTGCACACACGCCTCGGACTGGACAGTGGGGGAGCAGCCTGAGGCAGTGCAATTCGGCCTCTTCCCCACTGCTGACACAGAGCTGATGACTGGGCTCCGGAGCCTGGCGCAGCTGTTTGTAGCCAGCCTGGGCTCTGGGCAGCTGCAGAAGGCAGTGGGCAGGCTGCAAACAGCTGCACCGGGCTCCACAGCTCCGGCATCAGCTCCATGCTGGCGTTGACTGCACGTGTACCTCAGAGCAGACAGCAGCAGATCTGTGCTGCCTCAGGCCCTATCCCCACCATCCGCTCCAAGGCACACGTGTATCCGCCGGTATGGAGCTGATACCAGAGCCCAGAGCAGCTATTTGCAGCCTCCTGGCTGCAGCCGGCCCAGGCTCTGGTAGCTGCTGCCAACCAGAGAGCCCAGGCTGCTTGCAGAAGGGCTTGCAGCTGAGCCCACCTGACTCCTACCCATTCTGAGCCCAGCCCCGCACCAGGATGAGGCTGGATGCCCCTTGCCAGAAGCACTGCACCTTTTGTGGACTTAGCTGTGTGGGGCGGATGGGTGGTTGGGCTGATGGGCAGGCTCCGGGCCAGGGCCTTGGCCAGCTGCACTGTAGCCTGGGGGCTGGCTCCCCAGGGAAGCACAGGGGCTCTTGCAGGACCAGGGCATTGTTGGGTCGGACTTTGTCCAGTGGCCCAGGAGCCCGGCTCCATGCACCCGCGCATCTGGTTGTGTGTGTTTGTCTGCCTCTGTCTGGTTCTGTTTGTCTGTGTGCACACACATGTGTCTGGTTCCAGATGTTTGTGTGCATGTCTCTGTTCTGGGTGTGTTCTGGTTCTCTGTGTTTGTGCACATAGTTCTCTGTGTGCATGTGCGTGTGTCTGGTTCTCTCTCTGCTCTTCTTTTTCTTTCTTTTTCTCTCTCTCTCACTCCCCTTTCTCTTATTTGTCTCTTTTTTCTCTCTCTGTCATTGCAACATGCTCAACAAAAGGAATACACAACAACAAAGGCAACATTTATGATTATTAAATATACTAATATGCAGTGCATGCTGCATGTACCACCCCACCCCCCGCCCCATTTTGTTTTTTTGGCATACCAGCACTCTGGCACCTTCCAAGGTAGACATTGTGGTTTTTTCGGCACTCTGGTTGAAAAACATTGCCTACCCCGGTCCTACATGATTAATTTTACCTTGATTCTCATGATCTGACAAGAAATAAAGACAGTACCATGAAATATTGTGATGTAAATACTTTTTAGAAGCCATAGGGAATGCCAAGTCTAAATTGCTGAAACAAGGCAAGACACAGCTGTCAGAATGGCGTGGTTAATCTTGTCTCTGGTTTTATGCTCTTTATGCATGCATGGATTGTAATATAAGGAGAGCAAAACATTGACGATAAGAATCACCATATCCCCAGGAAAAGAAGGGTTTTTTTTGTGTGTTTGTCCATAGATAAAAGAATCTCTTAAACTGTTCAGTTATGTAGTTGAGTGCTTATTATAACTTATGGCACTTACAGCACCCACTGAACTGAAACAGAAGCAAATATTTCAATGTGTTGTTAAACATCTGCAGATCATATAACATGATTCCAAAAAGATTAAAAAGGAAGAGGATAAAAACACAGAATTACAGTCTGCTGCCTAAAAATGGAGAGCAAAAGGGTACTAAAAACCCTAAAAGAAGTCTTTTCCTGACACAATCATTTGTCTAAAGAATTCAGTTATTCAGAAATTATTACTTACTGGAAGTGTTGCAGCAGGTGTTGGCCATTCTTTCTTAAAACTACAGTGCTGAGTAGGTTCCTCAAATTGAAAAGCATCTTCCTTTTGGATTAATTTTTTTTTAGTCCTGGAAAGATGGTTAGCTAACCTGAAGTTCCATGAAGCAGAGAATGCCCTATGATTCACTGAGCAAACAAAGGTACTATCATCATGAGGCAATGTTACCTTTGATTGTCCTGACTGGGACTCAGGCTGCTGAGGGGTGAGAGTGCATCTGCCCTTATTCAAATTCTTTAGATAAATGTTTCTCATGAGGCCAACTTGTGCAACTCACAGTTTGTGCTTTTGCATGAAAGGAACATTATGGTTGTGTCAGTATTCTTTCTTAACAATTTTATATTGTTAAGTATTTGTACCTAAGAGTAAAATCATGGAAAAACCTAAGAGCAGAATAGGGAGCAGCTACACTAAGAAAAGAAATTTAAATTTGCCTTTTAAGAGAAAATTTTCAAAATACATTATGTTAGCTCAATATCCAAAATTCCCAATGCATGTAAAGAGTTAATTCATTGTGGTCTACTTTGAAAACATACCCATTCATTTTAAGCTGTTTACAATCCATTTGTTACTGATAACTAGTGATACTGGGAAGTTTACCCCTATGTTTCCATTTTTATTAGGTACCCACAGAAAAATAAAGTAGATGCTTCATAGATTCTTGATAATTTAGGTTTTACCCTGAATCCATTTAAAATAACTGGAGTTTTGCCCTTGACTTTAATAGAAGCGTAACTGACCCCTCATTTCCTCTTTTTTTTTTTTTTTTTTTTAAACTTTGTACCAAAATTTCTCAAATTACCCTTTGAGAAATGAGTGCATGATCACGTTTTATAATCTTTGAATTCACCTTTAAACTAGTCCTAAATCTTTCTAAAACTTCCTGAGTAAACATCCAGAATCCTGTCTGTTGAATTAATGTCCTACATATTCATTTAGTATTCTCTAGACATGTCTACATAAGATGCTTAATGAGCAGAAGACTAATTCTACTGCGCATTAGCACAGCAGGCAAAGCCCATGCTAATGCAATAATGCACAGCAGATTTAGTCTAATGCGCAGTAGCATCACAAAAAAAACCATTCATTTGCACTAATGTGCAGTAGTGCCAATTTCAGCTCATGAAGTTAACACCTGGCATTACAGGAACTAAACTTAATGTACCACAATTATGGCACATTAATGAACATGTAGACACACCCTCTGTGGTAAAGGCAAGCACGTACACCATACATCCTAATTAATTGGGTGATGCTCACTTAGTCAGGAGAATTCTCTATAAAGCAACCAAATATTTTTACAAAGGCATGCTACTTATTTTTTTATTCCCATAATAAAGTGTTGCTGATAGGGGGGAAAAATGTTAAGCGAAGAGGCACAAGAGTATGTGAATTGCAGTGCTGAGACTCGGGAGACCTGAGATAAGTTCACAGCTCTGGCACAGGCTTCTGGGCAAGTCATTAAGGGCATATCACATCACCTCCATGTCATGCCCAGAACCAGGATTGTGAAGCATATCATATTTGTTTACTTCTACTCAGTGTGACAAATCCTAAAACTGAAGCAATGTAGCCCCCCCCGGGCAATCCTCAGTGGGCACATCTACACAAGACGCTAGAAGCATGGTAGACTAATTCTACTGCGCATTAATGCATCACAGCGAAAGCCATGCTAACGTGCTAATGTGCAGTAGAATTAGTCTACTGCACATTATCATCACGTAAAAAATGTGCTGGCGCTACTGCACAGTAGCACTGATTATGGTACATTAAGTTTAGTATCTTTTATTACAGATACTAAACTTAATGTGCCATAATTATGGCACATTAATGCATGTGTAGACATGCCCAGTGAATTTCAGTAGGCACGCTTGAGACAGAGCCTAAGAGAAGTGTCAGGCATCCACCAAAAATCAGCTACATTGCCTCATTTTCAGAAGGTGGCCTCCACAGAGCAGGAGCAGGACAGAGTGTACTTCTGCATTGAATGACTGCATGCAGCACAGAGGTGATGTACACATACCCTTTAGAACTAAATTTCCAGGATTAAGACACCAGAAGATGCTGATAGGTACTCAGGGGAATGTTCAAAAGTAGGTACCTAACTTCTCTTGCAATCAAACAGGAATTAGATACCTAGCCTAGTTGGGCATTTTTTAAAAGAAGGTGCCTACCTTCACTTTGGGCAGGGGTGTGCAAAATCCGGCCAGCAAGCCAAATCCAGCCTGCCAAGGGATGTTGTTCAGCCCACGGCAGGTGCCTTGGTTCTACCCATGTCCCCATTCCATCTTCCTGGCCACATCCCCTGCCTGGTCTCCATGGAGATCCTGAGATTACGGGGTGGTGACAGCGCAGGACCAAGGCAGGGACATGCAGGGAGTGCACCATGGCTCTGCCCTGGCCCCAGCCCCACACTGTCACTGCCCCTGTATCCTGTGGTCTCCATAAAAAACAGCTGGGACTGTACTGGGAGCTGCATGCAGGCGAACATACTGGGAGCTGCATCTGGAGCTCTAAGTGACAGTGTGAGGCGATGGCCTGGGGCAGAGCCATGATCCACTTTCTGCAAGCCCCTGCCCACGGATCCAGTGCCTGTTGCAGGGATATGTGGGCAGCAGATCACAACTCTGCTCTGGTCCTGGCCCTGTGCTGTCACTGCCCCATGACTATGCCCCATGATCCTGGCCTCGCCTGCCAATCCCACTCCTGAACACTGCTTCTTGCCCACCCATGGCCTCATCCCAAGTAGGGAGTTTTGATGAGTTGTTGCACCGGGGGAGGGGGAGGGTACTGACCCAGCCCATGACAGCTCAGCAAAATTCCCTATGTGATCCAAGGGCCAAATAATTGCCCACCCCTGCTTTAGGGGGTGACTCAGTATCTTTGCATTCTATCTGTTCATTTCTGCTTCTCACTTGTAAAACAGGCTTAATTGCACTTTGTTACTTGGGAGATGATATGAGGATGAATAAATATGTTAAAGACTGTGAGGTACTCAGATACTGAAGGGAGGCGAACAATATAAGACTGATAGGGA